GCCCAACATACGTGGGGAATTAAAATAGCAGCAATCGCCAGGTAGAAGATCTGAGAAGATGCTGCACTCACCGGCGCTCAGCCACGTCTCGTACACACAGGAAAAATCCAGTCCTCGGGATGTGAAAAAATCCTTCAGGATAAACGTTTTGTTCGCTAGGGACCTAGCATTTACCAATCAATAAAGAGTGTTGTTTATTCTCAAACAATCACAAATGCTCAGCCTGCAGGCAGAATGAGCCAGGTCAGGCAGGTGATGCATTCTCCTGCAGACACACTGGGGGGGCGACAACACCCCGCAGACAGTGCTGCAGGTCAGCCGGCTGGCTGCTCACTTCCCTCAGTGGCGCACTTGCGCCCCCTCTCCGTGGGTGCTGCAAACCGTTGCCATGGGTTACCGGTTGCAGTTCCGGGTCAAGCCGCGAGTCTTAAACGTACCTATGAACGTACAAGTTCAAGACAGCTCTTGAATGCACTCGGCCAGGGAGATTGGTTTACAACATAGGTGTCAAACTCTGGCCCGCGGGCCAAATTTGTTTTGTAATTACATTTGGCCCGTGAGACCATACCAAACTACTATTAGAGCTGGCCCGCCGGTCTTATACAGCACATGTACTACTAATACTACAAATCCTAGAATGCTCTGTTGGCGTTTTGGCGCGTCAGTCAGGACAGGACCCATTAACGCCCTCTCCTCTGTTGACAGTAGTCATAGCAACCGTGCAAATACTGCCGCGCTACCTCTCCCAAAATGGTGAAAAGAAAGAACGAAAACAGGAGCTTTCTGGACAGGTGGGAGACAGAATATCTGTTTACCTATGTAATAGATAGACCTGTTTGTCTTGTATGTGGAGCTCATGTGGCTATAACCAAGGAGTACAACATTAGACGACACTATGAAACGAAACACCAAGAAAAGTACAAGGACCTGGACATGACTCAAAGGCGCCGGAAAGCAGAAGAGATGAAAAGAAGTTTTGTTTCACAACAGACTATGTTCAAAAAAGCCATATCACAAAGTGAGGCTGCTGTAAAGGCTAGTTTTGTTGTGGCAGCAGAGATCCCAAAATCAGCCCGGCCCTTCAGTGAGGGAGAGTTTGTGAAAAGTTGTATGATGAAAGTTTGCGACGTTGTGTGCCCAAAGAAAAAGCAAGCATTTTCAAATGTTAGCCTGAGCAGAAACACAGTAGCTGATCGCACACGTGAACTTGCCAACAATCTAAATAACCAGCTGATGGAGAAGGAAAACAGTTTCGTTGCATTCTCCCTCGCTGTGGATGAGAGCAGCGACGCCTCTGATACTGCCCAGCTTTCAGTCTTCATCCGTGGTGTGGACTCAACTCTCTGTGTTACGGAAGAACATTTAGGATTAAAATCAATGCACGGCACAACCACAGGGAAGGAAATATTTGAAGAGGTTTCCAAATGTCTAACTGAAATGAAGTTGCCATGGGAAAAACTTGTGGGGTTAACGACAGATGGTGCACCAGCGATGTGCGGTCAAAGGAGCGGACTGGTGGGCAGGGTACGGGAGAAGATGCGAGCGGAGAACTGTGCAGGTGAGCTGACTGTTTATCACTGCATCATACATCAAGAATCACTTTGTGGCAAAGCCCTAAAGATGGAACATGTTATGACCGCAGTAACACGAGTGGTTAACTTTATAAGAGCCAAAGGTCTGAATCACCGCCAATTCAAATCTTTTCTTGAGGAGTGTGGTTCGGAATACGGAGACGTGCCGTATCACACGGAGGTGAGGTGGTTAAGCCGAGGAAAAGTACTGAACAGATGTTTCGAGCTACGCAAGGAAATATTTCAGTTTCTGGAAAACAAAGGGCAAGACACAGCTGAGCTCAGGGAGCAAGAGTTTCTGTGTGAGCTGGCCTTTATGTGTGACGTCACGAGCCATCTCGATGCGCTGAACCTGCAGCTTCAGGGACGGGGGCGTATCATCACAGATATGTACGCTGCAGTGAGGGCTTTTAAAACGAAATTGTGCCTGTGGCAGAATCAGATGCTACAAGGAAACCTGGGCCATTTTCCCTGCTGCCAAACGATGAACATGCAAATCTCTACTGCTGTGTTCCCATGTGCACAGTTTGCTGAAAAACTCTGTGTACTCAGTACTGAGTTTACCCGGCGGTTTGCCGACTTTGATGCCCAGAAATGTCGATTTGAACTGCTCAGTAATCCTTTTGCAGTTGACGTGGCAAAAGCACCAACAAACCTCCAAATGGAGCTGATTGAACTCCAGTGTAGTGACACGCTGAAATCAAAGTATGATGCTGTGGGCGCTTCACAATTTCCACATTTCATCCCTGACACAATGCCTGGGCTCCGCACCCACGCTGCTCAGATGCTCTCTATGTTCGGCAGCACTTACCTATGTGAACAACTATTCTCCTCAATGAAGATGGTTAAAACATCTCACAGGAGACGTCTGACGGATGAACACCTTCACTCGATCCTGAGGATTTCCTCAGCTCAGAGCCTGAGCCCAGACATTGAGGAACTAGCATCCAAGAAGAGATGCCAGGTATCTGGCTTGGACGCATCAGAGTAGATCAGTGTGTAGCAAACTGAACTATAATTAACATTTTCTTTGTGCAATTTGTCTTGCTACTTCCAGACATGGGCTTGAATGGTTTCACGTTTAATTATATTTTTATTAGTTAAGTGGTTTATTATTGTTATTTTATTTTTACATTTATTATTAGCCTGGGGAAAAAGTTTACTGCTAAAATTTAATTCAGAAGGCTGCAAATACAATTTTTTTTTAAGAAATGCATTCCAGTGATATGTTATTTAATTGGAATTTCAATGTTGCATGTGTGCAATATTAAGTTATATATTTTTATATAAGTTATATATCGTTCAGTATTAAGCGCTGCTTATTCCATATTCAGTTTTTCAGCAAAACTTATTTGAGTCTGTAAGAAAAGGTTCCTTGTTATATCTGGAGGAAGATTTTTTTCAATAAATATTAATGTTAGCCCGCGACTTTGTTCCAGTTTTGAATTTTGGCCCACTGTATATTTGAGTTTGACACCCCTGGTTTACAACAATCGATCTAGAGTTTGAGTTGCTGAGCTTTTGCTCCCCTTCTTTTGCATCTGAGGAGCAGAGGAGGAGGCATTCTCTTTGTCCAGTGCATGTGCCATGCACCTACATTGAGCGCACTCAGAATGTGCGATGCCTGTGACCAGCTGTTTGTCTGCTTCATTAATCCAAATAGAGGTAGAGTTCTGTCTAAACAGAGGCTGTCCCACTGGATTATAGAAGCTATCTCACTAGCATACGGTGCCAAAGGTCTTGCTTTGCCCCAGGGGGTGAGAGCTCATTCCACCAGGGGGATGGCAACCTCATGGGCTCTTTTCAAAGGGGTGCCTGTAGCTGATATTTGTGCGGCAGCTAGTTGGGCATCACCGCATACTTTTGTGCGGTTTTATCGGTTGGACTTTACAGCCCCTTCGGTGGCTCATACTGTCCTTTCTGCTGGATCTATCGCTCACTAAGGTGGTGGTGGTCCAATTCCAGTTCGGTGGCTGCTCTGCGGGACGTGTATGTATGTCCCATACTTATGTGTTGTACCGAGTGAATCAACTGAAAGGGAATGAATAGTTATGTCTATAACTTCTGTTCCCTGAAGGAGAGGAACAAGGTACAACACAAGGTAGCCCCACTGAGCAGTTTGGCTCAGTGAAGAGCGGCTACTGAACTGAGGGATGACTGTGATGACAGCGGCGATATGTGCAGGCGAGGCTGTGCGTGTGTCATCACACGTCATCTGCCTTAAAGGCGTGAATAAAGGCTTCTTCAGCCAGGACACGCGAGGGCGTGATAACTCTTACTTATGTGTTGTACCCCGTTCCTCGCCTTCAGGGAACAGAAGTTATAGACATAACTATTCGTTAACACTATGGAGCCACTGTTATTGTGGAAAGTAACAGTTGGTTATACATTAGGGATCAACCAATATGGACTCCTCAAGGCTGACTGTGGTTATTGGTATAATTAAAACAAAACTCTGGTATCATAATACAGGATAAAGTTGACCCTGAAATCAGATTAGGCCAAGGGCCTTAACGGGCAAAAAAGGAATGACTTGTGTTGGCCAAAACCCCCCCACAAAAACAAACAAACAAAAAAAAAAAAAAACACACCCCACAGAATTTATGTGGCTCTAAATTAATGAATCTTACTCTTCTCACTGAAAGCCACTGGATTTTTTTTAACGGCGAGCCAGAGAAAAAAGCCATTTGACAACATGTCACAACAACCATTAATTGCAGCCACACTGTATTTACAGATGACATGATGCTGACACAATCTAAAATTCAAGTGTAAAATACATTCTATTCAGTGACTAACATACCTTCCCACAGGCACGACAGTGATGCCGCCTTTTGGTAAAAGTGAACTTCTGATTGCACTTCATACAGTTGGGAGCTTCAGAGTCTGGCACCCAAGCAGGCTGTCTGTTCCCTAGCTCCTCCACTCCCTCCCTTTTGCAGCTCACTGCCTTGGCACTGTCTGTGGTAAACTCCCCAGGGTAAGGTGGGGGTTCTGACAGTTCATCATACACCACACTGTAATCCTGATCCTCCTGAGTTGCATATGAAGTGTTAGAATCCCTAAAGTTGATGGAATGCTCATCTGTAATACTGGGGTTTATTGGTGAACGTTTTCCATCCTCTGCAGTACTTGGCACTGTTGTAGAAGCACTTAACATCTGAGCCAGCTCCTCCTCTTCCTCTTCTCCTGCTGCTGGAGATCTTGCAGTTTGGCAGTGCAGCTGTTTAGGTCTTGCACCTCCATAGGAGGGTTGTAGATCAGGGCTACTGCTGTGCTGGGACTGGAAAGTGTTGCTGGTCAGAGAGCTTGCCCCAGAAGAATAGTCTTGCCAAGGTCTGCAAGAGTCCTCTGATACTGATAGAGCACCAGGGTTAATGCTCCCCTCTGCAGATATACATATTGCTTGATCACTTTCTGGAAAAGGTAGACCTTCTAAGTCCTGTTTTACAAGCCCTTCCTCTGGAGCCCTGTTTGATTCTGGGAGAGATTCAGGATAAGAAACACCCTGTTCTGCTTCAGCATGTGCTTGCAGGAAAGCATCCAACTCCTCATCTGTAACCAGCAGCTCAGCCTGGTCGCTCTCAGGCAGGTACTCGAAACCAAACTCTGGAGGATCTACAAGGCTGGTTTCTGAACAATTGGTGGAGGTAAGATCTGTAGAAGCTTCAAGAAAAATCTGTTGTTGCCCCTCTGGAGACTGTCTGCCCTCTGCAACCTCCTGGACCATAAAAGCAGGTAAAGCGGGTGCCTCCGGGTGAGAAGCGGGTGCCTCCGGGTGGGAAGCGGGTGCCTCCGGGTGGGAAGCGGGTGCCTCCGGGTGGGAAGCGGGTGCCTCCGAATGGGACTCTTCCTCCTTGGCTTCCAGGCATGACAGGGATTCTGCCTCTGTGCTCTCAGACACATCTGCATCAATGCATAGCTCAGCTTCCCCTGAATCATCTTCTGTGGTCTTTGGGTTCACAAGAGCGCCGCACATGGACACAGCTATGGGTAAACATGACAGGGCTACCGGCTTGCTGTGTGAGGCTTTGGATTCCTGACCTGGAAGACACTCGGCTTCACATTCATCCAAGACTTCATGAGACTCATTCTCTTTACTAACTTTGATTGTTCTAGTTTTTTTAACACCATCAACAGGATCCAGATCACTCTGTTCCACAGAGTTCTCAACTACTTGGTCAGAGATATCCCCCCCTTCACTGTCCCCCTCCTCTTTATTAGCTAAATCAGTAGCTATTGAAGATAGTGAATGATCTGCGGGATCACAGCTCCTTTCCACTGCTGCAGGGAGAATGACATCAAGCAGACTGAGTGAGGCAGAGTATCCACCACTCTGCTGATGTAAATCTAGACTCAACAGTACCTTCCCATTCCCTACAAGGGTTTGCTCTTTTTGGGTGTCTCGACTATGGCATGCACCCTCTTGCTCTTGTCCTACTTCGGGGCTGTTAAAATCCACAAGCAGTGCTTCCTCTTCCTCCATTTGCTTTTCCACCATGTCCAGCTTACTGAAGGCATCATGGCTACTGGACCTGACCAGAATGGCTGAGCTTGTGTCATTCACAAGGTCGCAGACAGGTTTCAAAGCTCTGTCTGGACAGGGAGGGGTAGAGCTTTTGGCTGACCTGCGATCCACAGACAACAGAAGGTCCACACCAGTGAGAGGCTGACCTTTGACCTCTCTATCAGTGCTGCGGTTATGGTTATGACTGGCAGAACCATCAGGACAGCTGGGTGTCAATCCATAATGAAGAGAATTAAGGTCCGGGAGGCTTGGTGGATTTGGGGACAGCTCTGTAGGTGAACACTGAGGGCCAAGTGAGGAGAAGGGGTACACAGAGGGCTTCAGGGAAACAGGCCTGCCTTCGTGTTCCTCTGCAATCCAAAAAAAGGAAAACAGTTAATTCAATTATACTTGAGCTGTACTTTGGATACACTGGCACTGTCAATTCTGTTTTGCTAGATTTTTTTGGTGGTTTTTTTTCCCAATCTGGTAATGTGGTTCTGGGGTCAAAGTTGTGCTGCTATCCGAACCATGAGTGCTAAAATACAAATACATGGTTATATTTACTAACTAATAACTAATAAAATCCGGTGTCTCTAGATCGGAAACGGCTTCGCCTGAGTGAGACTCTTCCTTCCTGGCTTCCAGACCTGACAGAGATTCTGCTATATATATTCTGCTATATGCACTGCCCGGCCAAAAAAGAAGTCACTGGGCACTATTGTATAGAATGAAAATATCAACATGTTGCTGATAAGAGAAAATATTTGTCTGTAGGTACACTGATGAATGTGTATGTATGCATGTACATCTATGTGCATGTCTGTGTGTAGATATAGATGTGTGTGTGTGTGTGTATAACGTATGCATGTTAACTTGGTGTGACAAAGGTTGCTAGTTTTGTAACACAGACCAAGAAGTTGCACAAAATGTGGTGTTTTTTTAACATCATCTCTTTTAAATATCTTGTTTCTCAAGATGTAAAGATTGTCTGATTTACTCTTTTTTGCCGTTTCTGAGCAGTGCTCACAAAAACAAAAGTTAGTTGGTTGCTCTTAGCAGTGAAAATACTGACAACTGTCACTGAATTACTTTAATGCTGAAGAAATGTTTGAAAGCAGAAGATTCTAATGCAAGTCTCTGCACTGCTGTATGAAAAACAAAAACATCAGTTCCTTGTGTTATCAGTTGTTAAATAAATCAAAAATCAGTATGAAAGGCTTGATCTTTGATACACATCTGTATTGAGGATTTGACGACTTTTTAATCACTGGCTTCACTTTAACACTGGGGGGAAAAAAATGCTAAAACCGCAGAAATCTAGGGCACATTGTGAAGCACTCCAAGTTATGGTATGTACAGTTACATGTGTTGGCTGCAGATTGAGCAACTTTTTTAAATGTATGTATTTTAGCGAAAGTTCTAATTTTTCACACCCTTTCCTGATTCTCGTTACGAGTTAGGGTTTTTTTGCTGTTGTTTTTTTAAATTATAAAAGCTATGGAGTACTGTACAACACATTGGGACAACAGCACTGCCATAGCTTCAAAAGTTCCTTAATCCTCTGGTTTAAAGGATTTTCTTTATCATCAAAGTAATTCAGTGACAGTTGTCAGTATTTTTACTGCTACCCAGCAATCAACAACTGTTGATAATTAATTTGGCAAACTTTATTTTCCAAATTGTAAAGAAGTACAGTTTTAAACAATGCTTCTGTTGCTGCTACAGTGTAACTCAGTTTAATGCCGTAACGGAACTGAGCATCAAAATTACCAATCAGAATAGGACACACACTTCCTTTGGGCTCCGTCTCCAAACAGTCAAAAGTCAGTCCAATCCTGCCAAAAGTGTGAAACTGCAGCAGACTCAAAGCAGACACTCTTGTGTTCGCGATGGCTTCTTTCTGTGTGTGGCTGCTAAGTTCTACACATGTGAGTTATTGAATTTAAACACAGGGAATTTAATTGCACCTGTGAAATGAAATTATTTGCTCAGATTATGTTTTTTCTCACACGTGACATATAATAGTATAATATAATAATTCCATACACATTCTTTGTTACTTGTGTTATCAGTTGCTATATCTTTACTGAGATAAACTATAAAATGAATAAATCCATTAACAATGAATCATGTCTATCCCTTATCAGATGTTACTGTCCATGTGATGTGTGACTGGTCTTACCACTATTGAGTTCAAAGTCATCTAGCAGCTTGTCCAAATCACATACAGCTGCCTTGAAGAAGCTGTCCATGCTGCACTAAAGGAAAGAGGCTTTTTATGCCCTACAGTTTCTGAAAAGAAAAACAAAAACAGGTCTGTTGGGTGAAGAAAGGATTACTTCAAATGTTGGATTGTTTTTCAGGTTCTTTGGTGTTTGGGTGGTGGAGTAAAAATCCACTTAACATGCCAACTACAGCTTAGTAAACATTTACTACACCAGTCAAGGACCTCGGTAAAGACAACAAAAGTGCAAATGCACATGACGCTGAGCTGCAAATGAATATCTTTAGCAGGGATCATCCCATTTAGTGGTAGATTGTCAGTACTCTGCACAAAGTGACATGACGATAGTGTGAAGTGGCTAAAATGAGCTGATAATGTTGTTGTTTAGAGGTGAAGAAGCAGAAATCTCTGACATTATAGTCTTTATCAGCTTAAGACACAGCAATAACTGTGTTCCATTAGTGTTAAATAAGCACAGTTTCATATAACACTAAAATTCCATAATTATGTTGCAGTGAAAATTTAGATATTCCTCTTTAGGAGATCCCCTCTGGTAACAAATAAAAAAAAAGAAAAGCAAGTATAAATAAGGAAAAAGAATCAAAGTGGCTAACAGAAAAAGAACAAGGCTATGGTAGAAGCTACATTAGTAGGAACCCAGAAATTAACACAAAACAGTCAATGGAAAACCATAACAATTAATCTCCAAAAGTTGAATCTGTTCATCTGGACGTAGAGTTTTGTGGGAGAAACGTTTCGTCACTCATCCAAGTGACTTCTTCAGTCTCAGCTGACTGCAGGTTTCCCCAATCTTATAAACAGTATATTTGCATAATGACTGAAACCAGCCCACTGAAGGAACAATGGGCTGGGAGATCAGTTCCTTAATCTTAATTATGCAAATTCTCATGACCATTGATCAACAACCACTTGACCATTGTTGTTAAAGAGTGACAAAATGTTTCTCCCACAAAACGCTATGTCCAGATGAACAGAATCAACTTTTGGAGATTTACTTACCTGGATGATTGAGCATGCATCAAGACATAACAATTATTATTCAGACATATGGTTTAAGTAGGCAATAAGGGGACTAAGAGTTAAGGAATAAAAAAGAAAGAAAAAAAGCAACAGAAGCCACTACTGCAAGAAATAAGGACAAGGACACAGTTCTGTGTTACAGTAAACAAATAGCAGTCATGTGATCTACTGATGCCATCACTTCCATTGTTATTGTTTGTTGACTTTATTTCAAAAGGAAGTGCAAACTGTTAAATAATTACACTCAGGTCCATTATTAACCATGTGGGCCAACCAGATTAATATTTGTGATAATGGGTGTGATAATTCAACATTTGAATGCAGTTACTGATCACCCGTGAAGTGTTGTTCAGTGTCTTGAATGCAAACTAGAGCAGGGCGATATGACCAAAAATATTTATCACGATATACATTTGAAATTTTGCGATAACGATATAACTGACGATAGAATTGACACTAGACAAAATACTTTGCAACTCCATAACTTTATTAGTGCAAAAAAAAAACCAAAACCCATCAATGTATTTTCACTTAAACAAGCAGCTGTTTTTTATGTGCATTAAAGTTATATAAAAATTTAACAGTGCAAATGCAAATTCCTTGCTGACAGTTTAACCAGTTCCACGCCATTTTTACAAACCAATTCTGGTTCATCTGTTTCATTCAACGATCCGCTTTCGCCCTTCTTATTCTCCGTCTCCGCCATGCTTTTTCCACCATGTGCGTACGTATGAAAACAAAGGCACTGCACATGCGCGTTTTACCCATATTCTATTGTGATATTTCATTTTCTTATCGTTGCCCAACATTATACCGGTATTACCGTGAACGGTACGATATGGCCCAGCCCTAATGCAAACTACTGAGGAGATGGGGCATTACTGTGTAGAGCTGAGTGTCAGCTGGAGGAAGTAAAGACAGCACTGGTGACATAGACATTAATCTTAATATCAAGTAGTACATCATTGAATCTTGTACCAAATTATCTTGTATTATGAACAAAATAAGGTTGGGAGATATGTAAAAATTTTCCAACCGACAATCATCAGTCCAATAACCGACGTTAGGCAATATATTCACGCAGGCACAGACTTTTTGATGGGCAGAGCAATCATCCACGAACTTATTTGCACATTTAGAAAGTTTTGTTTGGAGGGAATATTTAACTTTCTTTTCTTGTTTGTTTCAGTATTAATATAGCTACTTTTTAGATTATGAATTAATTAATGTATTTATTTATTTTCTTGAGATGCGCCAAATTGGCAAAAGACTTAACATTTTATCTGAGATTTTTTACTTTTTGTTTAATTTTGTATTTTTTGTTTGGTGGAGTGTGTAAGACAGATAAACACTGGAACAGCCTGTAACCATTGGTGAAAAAAAGAAGCCAATTTCTCTTTGTTTACCTCCCCAGCATTGTGGAGTTTTTAATTTAAATAAAATGTGGGGGTTCCTTTTCTGAACATAGGCTACTGCCTTTCTTTCTTTCTGTTATAAGTTGGAGTAAATGAATCGCTGCATTTGTGCTCTGAGGAGGGTGCATTTGCTGGAAGCTGGAAGAGGGTGCTGTTAAAACAGTGCTATTATTTTTTCTGTCGACTCTTAGCTTCAACCAACATTATTAGCAAACTTATTCATGGTCAAATAAATAAATAAATCGCTCTTGTAAAAACAATCAGCAAAAAGCCTATCATCGATAGCTGATATATTCATCCAATCGCCAAACCTTAGTACACAAGTCATTGTTTTCAGAGCAAGCCTCCATCTTACTTAGAATTTAGTCCAACATGAATTCAAAAAGCTGAGAGTGTATACAAACCCGTATCAACTATGAATTGTCACCCTCCCACAAACCAGTTTCACAGCCATCACATGATATGAACCATGTGAGTTCTGGTGTCACTCAACTATTACTCATTGTGATTTGTGGGTTTTTACACTACTTAATGACAACTATGTCTCGTTTGTGTAGCGCAGTAGTCTATAGCTGAAGAGTAGTAGTAGAAGTAGTAGTAGTTCAGCTGTACTTTTACCAGACGGAAGCGATAAATGAAAGGAGAACTAGGTGATATACAATCCTCGGGTAACTTAACAAGAACACCACAAGAAGGATACGTGTATGAATGATTCACAGTAGTGCTAAGGTACAGACTGGTACTAGAATGCAGTTCCCACAACTTCAATGTCTCAACTTAACTCATAAAGCTTATCACTACATAGTTCTTAAAGTAAAGGTCCATGAACAAAGAAAAGGAAATAAATAGGGATGCAGCTATTGATTGTTTCACTAATTGACTATGCCATTGATTAACCAAGTAATCGGACAAGAAATAATAACAAATACTTAAAAGAGAAAAAATACTGGTCTTTCAAAATGAACTACTCATTGGTTTCCCTTTTAGAAATAGCAATGCTTTTAATAGTTTAACTTCATACAACATCTGCCAAAGAGTTAAACGTGTTCACTGTATTTATATACCCTATATTATATGTTTGAAAATAGGTCTGTAAGTACTGTATCTTCTGTGGGTAGATTAGGTGTGTGTTCTTGTGTATGTGTTTGTGCCTCTGTACGTTTAACTATGCTAGTAAATCAGTGAGTGTTTCTGTAAGCTTTTTAAATGAGTATGTGGTGGCGGCAATGAAGAAAATCAAACATATCAACATTCTCAGAACTATGCTTAGCCCTGTGCTTTTATGCAACCTTTCCTGTCGCAGAAAACAGACATGATGATGGTACAAAAATAATTATTGTTTATAATAATTCAGTGTCCAGCCCCAGGAATGGCTTGCTTTAAACATTGTCAGACTAAGCTAATAGTCTCCATATCTTATTTTATCTTCTGTAGTTTTGCTAAAGATGTTTCACTAAACAGTGGTGGATAGGATCAGATACTAATTTCACTTTTCTTCACGTTGGAGCTTTCTGAACACGTGGTTTAATTAAGGAATCCCACCAGCTTTTTCTCAGTAAATGTTTTTCTAGCAATTACAGTAACAAGCTGAAGTTTGGAACGCTGGAAAAAAAGAAAAATTTTCTTTCACTCCACTAAGCTTCCCACAAAGTGGGAAGAACTTCTTTTTCCGGTCTTACTTAGAGAGCCTCTTTTTGCTGCTGTCATTCAGTAACTAGTTTCCAACAAGGTTTAATATTTAAGGGAAGGATGAAGTCTCAACAACCCTCTGAACTGAGGTTTGATAAGTATTCTGTCATTTAAAATTCATGTCGTTCTGCTGCTCATTGCTTATGAGACTGGCAAAATGCAATGACAAATAATATGAAACGAGAAGTACCAACACATTCACTATGGCTGTTTAGAGCTGAAGTTACAAATATCGGTTGTGGCGTAAACAACACATACTACATACATTTTTCTTGCTCTCGTTTAAAACGGTTTTCACAAACCAAAAACGCAGTATAAGAGCGAGCAAGGTAAACAAAACTAGCAAACCCCATCATATATGAAACGTTAGCAGGTAACATTAGCACTTACATTTCACATTAACAAACCCACTTAGCAGTTAGCCAGAGTCCTATTTTTACAGCTAACTCTGGCTAACTGTTTAAAGGTGAGCCACCTTTGGACTGCCTGTTGTACGTCTACTGAAATTAGTACGATTACACCAGGTGTTGCTAAAATTAGCCCGTTAGTTGTTACTGAACAGGCTAGCTGGCTAATGTGGCTACCAAACTATGGGGAGGGGGGCGGGGGGGTTAACGAATTTCTTACCAGTATGTTTTACTCCATGTGTCGAACCTCAACAATTATGCTTCGCTTCAGATGTAACGCATAAGAAAACGTTGCTGGTATCTTAGGGTAATTCCACGGTAAAAGTCGTTCGGCCAGCTAGCTGCTGGATTAGTTTTACTGGAGAGGTGTAAATTCTCCACTTAAGCGGCCATCTTGAACATGCAGACTGTCGGGAGGTCACAGGATATGCTTAGGCTGTGTGGCTGGCATACAAGTTTACTCACCAGCGCAGAAGTGGTGGTGAGTAAACTTGTTCTTCCTGGGAGCTACATACAAACGAGAAATTAGAAGAAAGAAAAAAAAAAACCTTGACAAAATCTTTCTCAGGCAAGTTCTGAAACATTAGAGTTTCTTAAAGGTAATCACTGTAAATTTCTCTGTTATTTTTTTTAAATATAATTTTCTATTCTAAAAAAAAAAAGAATAAAAAATTGGAAGTTGAACAAAGGCTGCCTTGTGCTTTTGTGTAATAGCAATTTATTATTTTATTATTTTGCTATATAAGAACCATTCCATTTCCCATCACCTCTTCTTTTTTTAATACTGAGATTGTGATGCTGCAAAGGCTCATCTCAAAGTTTCAAAATGGGACTTCAGAAATGAGTAGATGGCAACATGATAGCCATCTTTCATGTCATGTGTGATAGCTCCAGATGAGTTTGTTCACAGTTATCAATGACAAGCAATGGTGGATCTTACTGTGAAACAATAAGAGTCATCTACTGCATACCTATGTTATAACAAGTTGTTATTTGTATTTTTGTGTCCGTCCTGTGAACTCAAAGCAGCCTGGCCTGTCTCTTTTGACCTGTAGCATCAACAAGGTATTTCTGCCTAGAGGAATCTTAGGACCTTAAAAAGGTCCTAAGCTGGACTTCTTTAATTTTGTTGAAGACATTTCACCTCTCATCCAAGGCTAAAAAGTGGAGAGTCACAGATATTTAAACCTTAGTTGGTAGTGTCCCTTAGGAGGGGGTAATTGACCCACTATTAATCATGTGACTCTTCACATAAGGTGTGAAAAAACCTCTAGTGGTTTCAGGTGAAATCAGCGTGATCCCTTAACCCACCCTAACATGTGAACAATTGAGGTCACCTGATATAAGATGCGACTGAAAAGAAAACTGCTCCTCACTGTGAGTCAAACTTAAAAGGTTGTAATTTAGAGAATTATGAGTAAATTAGAACATTTCTGACAGCCAGTGAGAGTAGGATGTTCTTAGACTCTGTGATTTTTTTTCTTACATTTTCATTATTATGTCATTGTATTGTCAATTCAATTAAATTCAGTTTTATTTATACAGCACCAAATTACAACAACAGTTGCCTCAAGGCAATTTATATTGCCTACCCAACAATCATAAGACTCCCTGTGAGCAAGAACTGTGGTGACAGTGGGAAGAAAACACTCCCTTTTAACAGGAAGAAACCTCCAGCAGAACCAGGCTCAGGGAGGGGTGGCCATCTGCCACAACTGGTTCATGGTGAGGGCAGGAAAGCAGGACAAAAGACGTGTTGTGGAAGAGAGGCAGAGATTAATAACAAGTAATGATTCAAATGATTCAGTGCAGAGAGGTCTGTTAACAACTTGTCACTAACAGGTGACAAAAAATTTAATTTAATAGAATCACTTTTCATAAAAAACCTTTTTGATAAAAGGACATTCCCATTTCATCACTGTGAAATGTGGGGAAATTATCTTTTTTTCTTTAATTGTCTTTTAATTTCAAAATAATTCATGTGTGCTTGGTTTTTTTTAACGGTTTTGCATCGATTTTCCACATCTCCTTTAAATGAGCCATGGTTAAATGTATGTATTAGATAAATTAAACGGAACTAAATACTGGACTAGCTTACCACAATAGATGGATAAATAGAATAGTTTTATTCTAAAAGGATGTCTTAAAGAAATGGGGATACCTAAGGAAACAGGAACACATATCCAAAGCAAAGCGGTAAAAATTTGGTTAAAATCTGTAACCCTCCGGGCCCAAAGAGGGCGGTAACGCAAGAGAATCCCGCCCGTCATCCGTTTTAAAACAAACTGAAAAGAAGTCGAGGTAGAGCGGAAAGAAAAAGGAAGAAGAAGGAGAAGACGGAATCGGTACCACAATGACTTCGGCTCGGAGACTAACTAGGGTAAGAAAAAGGTCTTAGTTGTTGGATTTCTGCAACTTTGACATGGTTTAAACAATGGTTTCGACTTTATGAGTGTAGCTACAGATTCGTGAGCAAAGAGAAAATGTCCGGGTGTTTGTCGCTCAAGTGTCTGACAAAACGAAAGGATAATGACGGCCGACAGACGGTGACTCGGGGTTTAGTTGTTAATTTGAAATGCCAGCAGAGCGTGATTAAGCTTTAAGATAAAACTGTCATCTACGGCTTTAAGTCGGAAAGCAAGCTGGTGTTTAATAGGCGAGCATGGTGGAAACTGTAGCAGCTCGTTTTAACCGCTGTCGCCGTCTGAAGGCAGCCGCGGAGGCGAAAACATGGAGACTTTGGGGTTGGGACGTGACGTCAGACCTCATCTGAGCCGTATACGTTTAATAAACAATGATATATCTATATATATATCTATATATATATATATATATCTCTATATATATCTTTTTCTATAAGTAAGACATATTATTCTCTTGTTTAGGGGGATTAAGAGTGAGTTATTTACAAAACAGTATACAAAGTTATTTTGATTTATTTTGACTTGGTCATGTACTTGCATGTAAACAAACGCAATATGAAACAAACAGAAGGAGTAATGCCTTTATTATTTCAGCAACAAAATACAGTAGTCAATAAATTATGAAGAATTAAGTGTAACAATTGGAAAGAATTGTTCCTGTAAGTTAAAAGAGTAAGTAGAAAAATGTGGCTATTGTAGACATTGATTTTTATTTTTAAAGAGAGAAAAAAATGAATTGTATGCTAATGTTGTAAACAGTGTAGTGGCTGGCCAGGCGTTCATACTTTCTTTTGTTCTGACTCGTTTTAGTTTTGATTTGCTGTATGTTAGTAATTTCCTCATACCAAAAAGAAAATGGTGTAGTGTGCTGTCACGACTTCCTGAAGTCCCCTGACAGTTCAGTTTTACAGTTCACGTAAATTCCAAATTCCACTGGGAATTAGAAAATTTCTACTATTTGCTTTCAGTTAAAACTGTTGCAAGAGAATTATCTGAAATGACTGGGACTGTAGGAAATGTACAGCTTGAATTGATCGGTATAAAATATTTTGACTGTCACTTTCTGTCTGCCAATCACTTGCAACTGTAGGACCTCAGCGGTTTGATAACATTTACTAGTTTCTTCCTCCTGTTTGTCTATCTCACCTAGATGTTCTTCTGAAATTTATACTGGCAGACTTTTTGACCATATGAATGAAAAATATTTGATCTGAGTAACCAAATGGATTTGTTTTGTAATGCTTTTAAGCTTTTTTTTTTTTTTTTAACTAATGCTAGTGTTCAGCTAACAGCTGGTAGTGGTGGTTGAAGGTGACTGTTATCACAAGGCTGCTCCTTGATCTTCTCTGCAACTGCTTTGCTTTATACCTGAAATCAGTCAACCGCAAACAAGGTTAACAAGTCACAAACTAAACACTTTTTGGGTTTTTTTGTTGTTGTTTTTTTTAAATAACTAAAAGTAACCATCATGGAACCATTAGTCCTCAGCCAATGTTGCTGCACACGCACATTTTAAAGATGCAATACCCATTTAAGTTCAAAGCTATTTCAGGTTTTTGTTTTTTAATTTTTTTTCTTTAATTTGTTGAGGGTTATGTTAAAAAGCTTAGTCTATATGAATCCTTGAGTGTTTCATACATCACAGGCCTTCATAGCAAAAAACTGAGTTCTCCACCTCTGTCTGTTTGCCATACACACATGTCATTGCAAAGGTCACAGTCTGGAAACCCATTATTTTATTTATTTATTCATTTATTTATTTATTGGTAATTAGTATGAATCTATGACTGCTGCCCTGTAAGTATGCAAAACTGTATTAGTGGAGGTGAAGGTCTCACACAGGCCATCATTGTCCGATGTTAATAAAATTTAAAACACCATAATTGTTTTTGCAGTATTTATGTGAACAGCCTGGAAGGAAAAATGCATTGTGTGAATAGTAATCTGAACCAAGGAATGAGCGGGTATGAGTCATTGTGGAGGAAGTGATGTAACTGTTTACTGTCTGACGGGACTCGGTCCATCAGGGCCATATTACACAGTTCCTCTGAATCACCTACACCCAGCAGATTGTATTTCTTAGCTGGTTTCTTGACTTTTCCTCACGTTTTATCGACCTCAATCAGCCACAAGTTTAAAACCACAACCTCATAATGTGGCGCTCACCCTAATGTCACCAAAAGAACACACCTTAAGTCAGTGTGTGTGTCCGTGTGTGCCCATCCCAACAATGCTTGTCTCGGTTGAGATCTTGGAAATTTGGGGACCAAGTCAGCACTGTGTTGTTCATGTGGTCAATGTAGGTTCTGACAGTCTGCATTTGTGCAGCGTCATGCACAGCAATTTGTGTGCTGACACATTTTTGTCCTAGCCAGCTGAAGACTGTTTTTCTGTGGGCTGAAACGGCATGGTCCAGTACTGCCCTTTCTGAACCTGCCGAGTCACCATTTCTCCTTCCTTGGATCACTTTTAGTAGGTTCTGGCTTCCAGTTTGGAGATGTTGTGGCTGATTACTCTACGTTATACATTCACGCATTTGTCTGTTTGTTCTTCCTGTTCTGTCACTGCATAATTTTACACCAAATTTCAATCAATTATGTTTTGTTTCAGGAGATTCAAGACATTCGCGATTCTGGAATAAAGAATTTCCGAATCATTCAAGTGGATGAATCTAATATTTTGAACTGGCAAGGGCTTATTGTTCCTGTAAGTATTGACCCTATGTAACTATACATTTTTCCCACTTTTGTTTCTCTAATGGCTCAAATTTCAGATCACACATTGTGAAGTTCGAGAAGAACATTTTGGTAGAAATTTGGGTTGACTTGTATGAAACATATTGTTTTATATAGTCTATATATATCTGTTGTGAACAGTAAATTATCAGCTTACTTGTTTTTTGTTCACTTATTTTATTTTTTTAAGGTTTCTGTTTTGGTAAGTGTCAGACACAAGTTTTGGTTCTGTTTAATGCTGTAGAGAGGG